ACACACACACACACACACACACACACACACACACACACACAGGATGAGCAAAATCGAATGAATCCAGAACGTGGAAATATACACTGCCCGTGTGTGTGTGTGTGTGTGTGTGTGTGTGTGTGTGTGTGTGAGAGAGAGAGAGAGAGAGAGAGAGGAGCTGGAGATGGGGAACCTCACCGACGGGCCTGGGCATTGCGCAAAGTTGCCCACCCGGTATGAAGGGCAACCCGGGTGAAACAGCGTGCAGGCCCAGGCTCCATCGACCCCGTCCAGAATGCAAATTTGCACATGGGCCTGACAGGGGCAAAACGCAATGAATTAGGCCCAAAAGGGCATTCCGCTCTACCCAGATCTTTTAGGGGCATTTTGGAATATATCTCAACTTATAGGGGTATTTCGCAATTTCCGGGTTGTTTGTGAGGAATTCCCGGCCTCATGTGTTTCATGATAATGGATTCCTTACCTTTTCCCAAAAAGAAAAAAAAAAATAGAAGGCAGCAGCCATGCAACGTTAGCCTTTTCCCCCCTCCCTTTTTAGGTACTCCTTCCCGGGGGCAAGGTCCCACGCGCGCAAATTAGGAGATTTCGGCCGTTGGCCTTGCAATCTACGGTCGGTATCTCTTAATTCGTGCAAGTGGGACCTACCGTCTTCCCCCGAACACAACTCACCCTCATTTTGACTGCATCGGACCGGAAAGACGGCTTGTATACGTTCATTTTCAGCGTGCGTTATGTTGGGGGGAAGAGGGTAGCCCGGGAACATTTTTATGCTCATGTTATCCGGATTCACTAACAGTCAGTTGTGTGCAGCAGTCAGCCAAACGGGCTGGGTATTTCCAACCCTTTTTTTTTTGTTTTGTTTTTTTTTTCATAAAAACTGCCTTCTCCTCATTGGGGGACAGCCATATATTTTATCTCACCTCACATATCTTTCTTATCACTGCCTACCACTACTACTAAGGCTATACAGGGGACCCCTGCAAGCATAGCTTTCTACCTCTCTTCGGTGAAGGGAGGTTACCTCTCTCGGTGGAGAGGGGTAACGGCATGTTTTTTTTTTTTTACATCCAACCCTTTTTCAGTTGTGGCGCCATCCCGCGAAATATTTGAATGTCCAGAAACGGCGGGAACGATGGTCCGAATGGCTTCTGCCTCGACGATGCCCGATCGACTGGGTGCAGCGAGGCCCTTTGTGTGGACGCTATGAACGAATTAGGTCTGGGAGAAGTCATTCGATATATATTTGCCGTTTGGTATCACCAGTATTCAGTACTACTCACCATGATATGACCTGCGTCCGACGTGGAACACCCAGGGAATCGTCCGAAATCATCCTGTCAAAACAAAAAAGGCAAGACATGCTATCGCCCGATCACTAAACCGCAATTGCTGCGTGCCATCTCCGCCGCTCGCGCATGCCAGCTCCGCGTGCTGCCGCTGCCACCAGTCCATGGGTCTCAGTAGCAGCTGTCCTTGAATGAATGCTCTTCTTTATGTCTTTCTCGTTTCCTTTTTTCTTCTCTTCTCCGTTTGCTTGCTTCGTCTCTTCCTCTTCGTAAGAGAAAGACACATTCATAAGGCCTGCCGCACTACTCACCAATTGCACAAACGACAAAAATGATGGCCGCGCATCCTTCCATGTTCTAGCGGAAGATTAATTCTCATTTTGTACGTTTGGTGAGTTCTGCGGCGAGGCCCATCGGTCTTCTTCTCCGTTTTCTTTTCGTCCTGCTGCTTCTTCGTGACGCACAGATACATCTCCTTGCTCCCTCCATTTTATTCTACCCCCTTCGCGCTGCTTCTTCATCCCATTCGAATGCCATTCGAATTCCGTCGCGAAATCTTCCCGCCCCCTTATTATTCTTTCTTAAGGTCGCCTTCTTCCCATTACTCTACCCCTCTCGCTGCCGCTCCACGCCGTTTGAATTTCGTCAAGAAATCTTGCTTTCTTATTCGTTTCCTCGGTCGTAATCTTCTTCTTCTTCTTCGTCCTAGTCTCCTCTGGCCTTGCCGTACAGATGGAGCCCTTCGTTCTGGACAATGGCAGTGGGTTTATCAAAGCTGGCTTTGCCAATCCGGACAGTGAACCCCACATGGTGATACGAACGGCGGTGTGCTCGATTGATGCCGGCAATGGGGACGATGAAGGGGATGGCGACGGGGTCCCGATGTCGGAGGAGTTCGACTTGCGTTCTCCTGTGGGAGCCGGTCGAGCTTCGGGCGAGAAGAAGAGCGGAGGAGGAGGAGGAGGAGGGGGCGGTGCGGCTGGTGGTGCTCTCCTCGATACCTCTGCGGCGGCGCTGGCGGCGGCGGCAGGAAACGGCCACTTGACGGCTGACGTGGCAGCAGTAGCAGGCGGGGCCGTCGGATTGTCTTCGCTTGGATCATCTGTAATCTATCCGATCGAGCGTGGTATTATCAAGAACTGGGAAGCGATGGAAGACTTGTGGCACCATATTTTTTACTCGAATAAGCAGTTTTGGGAGGTCGGACAGGAAGGGCAGCTGCTGATCGCCGAACCCTTGTTTACTCCCAAAGCAGCGAGGGAAAAGATGGCTCAGGTCATGTTTGAAACGTTCAATGTGTTGGGATTGTACTCTGTTGAGCAGGCGATTCTCTCTCTTTACGCCATGGGTAGAATCTCGGGGTGCGCGGTAGATATTGGTCATGGCGTCATCGACATCGCGCCAGTATGGGAGGGAGCTATGCAACACGCGGCAGCAAAGAGGGTGAAGATAGGCGGCCAAGATCTGACGGAGCTCATGGCTCGATTGATGATGAACTCTAGATCCCTTTCCTCCCCCTCTGGCTCTCCTAGCAAGGCAAAGAACGTGAACACGAGCGCAGCTATGGAAGACGGCGGCGGCGGCGGCGGCAAGCATGAGAGCTCTGGCGATGGCGGCGCGGGAGCTAGCCATGGTGGTCGTGGTAATGTTAGTCCTGGTGGTGGTGGGAGCGGAAATCGCGGTCATCAATCTACACCTACTCTCTCTCCTCCTCCTCCTCCTCCTCCACCTCTTCTTCCTCCCCCTCCAGCGCCTCTTTCCGTACCCATGATTACCCTTCCTCTCCCTCCTCCTCCTCCTCCTCCTCCTACTCTTTCTCCTTCTCTAGCCGTAGTGATTAACACTGATATTGCCGAGGTTCTCAAGGAGAGGTACGCGCTCGTTGCCGATGATGCCATAGCGTATCGAAAGGTGCTGTCGGGTCAAGACGCTACGTCTTCGTTGTCTCCTTCGTCTTCTTCCTCGTCTCTTGTTCAACACACTCTTCCAGACGGTCAGGTTATTAGTGTTAGCGGTAGAGAGAGATACACAGCCGGGGAGGCGATTTTTGAACCGTCGATCTTGGGGATCAACGACTGCGGGATTGTCGATCATGTGTACAGAAGCATTACTCTTTGCGGTCCGTCGGAAAACCAACGACAAATCTTGGAAAATATCGTTCTTTGTGGCGGTGGAAGTGTCATACCCGGGTTGGATTCGCGCTTTCTCCGCGAGATTTCGGTGCTTGCGCCGCCTTCCATGCGTCCTGCCGTCGTGAAGCCGCCGGACTACATGCCCGAAAATACGGTGAAATATTCCGCGTGGATTGGGGGATCGATCCTTGCCAAAAATGTCTTCCCTCAAAATCAACACATCACCAAGGCCGAATACGACGAAATCGGACCGACTGTAATCCAGAGGAAATGCTTCTGACACGCGCGACAAAGAGAGCAAAGAAAAAGGAAAGTTCCTTTTGGCGGAGAAAATGATAGCGAAACCAACAATATGCATGATCAGTTTTCTTCATGTATGCATGGGCCTGGAACGGCGAGAGAGACAGCGGTTGTATACTTTCGCACGCTCTCCCTCCCTCCCTCTCTCTCTCTCTCTCTTGCGCGCGCGCGATAGATAGATAGAGAGAGAGAGAGAGAGAGAGAGAGAGAGAGAGAGAGAGAGAGAGAGAGAGAGAGAGAGAGAGAGAGAGAGAGAACACGGATGATACCGACAGGCAGGTAAATAGATTTAGAACTGTAATCATCATGATTTGGCCTGCGTTTCCTTTCTCTTTCAATTTTTTCGTGTCTCGTGCGTGCACACACACACACACACACACACACACTTACACACACAGAGAGAGAGAGAGAGAGAGAGAGAGAGAGAGAGAGAGAGAGAGAGAGAGAGAGAGAGAGAGGAGAGAGAGAGAGGCAGGTAGATAGATTTAGAACGGGGATTGTCATGATTTGCCCTGTGTTTCCTTTTTCTTTTAACTGAGAGAGAGAGAGAGAGAGAGAGAGAGAGAGAGAGAGAGAGAGATGGCGGGTTTGTGTGAAATAGTTTCGCCCGACTTTGTTTTCTTTGATTTCGGCTCATCTACCGGACTCTATTTGATTGAGCGGGTAGACTGGTGGGCAATATCACAGCGCAACGTCTGACAAGCGACGGATAGGCGTTGGTATTACGTGTATAATCTCGAGCGTTCTTCTCTGTTTTGCAACTTCTTTCCCTTCTCCCCCCCCTTTCCCCCTTCCCCTCCCTTTCCCTCCTCCCACCCACCTGCCCCAATTTAATGGCAGTGCGTGTCCATCAACTGAGTGATCGATCGATTATGTGGAAAGAAGCGACCAATCGAGCAAGCGATCCATCAAGCAAGCAATAGAGTAATCATCCTTCCGATCGCTGATTCAGTATTGTTCTTAGCTGGACTGGCTTTTGTCTTTAAAAAAAAAAAAAAAAAAAAAAAAAAAGTTTTGTTCTTCTGTCTTTGTGAGCATCTCTTAGCAAGCTCCTGTCGCGCAAAATCCTACCATCTTCTCCCGAGCAGAACGCCTGCCCTTTACGACGACATGATGAAGGTACAGCAGACTATAGAGAGCTGGTCTTCTCCTCGCATGGGTGGTCCGCGTTCCAACGGATCCGTTTCTTAATGTTTCCCGTTCTTCTGTTTGGTCGTTCTTTCCTGCTAGAGGAAAAAGTATAGACAGAAAAGGAGAGAAGAAAGCACAGAAGTTATCCCCAATTCTGGGGCGGTGTGACAAAAAAAAAAAAAAAAGTAATTAAGCTCGGGTGGTGTTCTCTTTTTTGTCTCTTTGTTGGTGCACAAGATTGCTCGACCATTCAATTTTTGAAGAAGGGGAATGGAGGGGGGAGAGGGGGGGGAAGAGAGGGGGGGGGGGAGAAAGGGGGGGGGTGGATGGGGTATCCAAATCCGGCAGACACCTATGTACGCGGTAACCAAACAAACAGTATCGCTTCGGGCATTGCGAAATAAAAACCGTACCCGGAGGGTTCAAAGTTTTAATGAAGAAAAGTACATAGAAGTAATGGTGAATGCGCGAGAAAAGAAAAGAAAAGAAAAGAAAAGTCGGGACTAATTGAGGGCAATAATTTTTTATTTTTTATTTTGATTCAATTACCTGTCAAATCTGGACAGGATGGCCTTTCAGGGCTTTTTAATTGTCATTATGGTATTATTACGGGGACCCCCCCTCGTAGCAGCCACATCCGTGCTCAAGCCTCCAACGAGGGAACATGCCGGAGCTGCACCCCCCACCAGCAGTTGCGATACCTGCCACAGCAGGTGGGCGATACAGGCCGGTGGGTGATACAGGCCAGGGGTCAGCCGGTAGCATCAGGACCGAGCTTCTTCGATGGGCCAGTCACTGTGCCTCCCCTCCGGTCCCCTTCCCCTATGAACATCAGCAGTCTCTGCTCAATGCCACTCAGGGGGACCAATGGCATATCTCTAGGTGGCGGTTGCCAAGTTTGCCCAGGAAGGTGCATGAAGCCAATGGGGATTGAACCCAAGACCTCCTGAATGCCACTTGCGTGCCTTACCGAGTTAGGCCGCTGGATAGGGTGCAATGAACCCAGATCGTGAAGACAGTTGTCAACAATGCAAGTCCAAATGAGTGTCAACCGGCTGATGATTATCAATAATCGTATTCGTGTCCAGATACCCAAGAGAAGAGAAGACATACACAGACGAGGTAGATGAGAGGGAGGAAAGACTTAGAGTGGGGAAGATAGAAACAATGCCCACTGCTTCTTCGGGCTCCCTCCGCAATCACCACCTCAATAATCAATAATCTGAACGAGTATCTGAAGTAACCTCAATGTGCCACGTGGCACGTCTAATCAGTCCCTCATCAATGCTGGAGCAATGTCGACATGAAGACAACCAGGTAAGTATCCACGATCTTTCCACAGTCTTGATCTCCTCCTGAATTAAGATAATCAGAACAGCAACACAAATCACATAGCTTCGCCTCGTCAACCAGTAGTATATGTGGCAGCAGCCACATCAGCGACAGCGCATGGCAGCTGCCATGTCAGCATGCCAAGAAGACAGGTGCAAGCCAGCCACCATGCCTGACCAGCAGCGCATCGCCGTAGACACAATGCCAGCACAGAGCCAGCGCTCAACCAGCTTCGTAGCGTCAAGCCAGAGTCGTCATCAACACGCGAAGACAGCATCGACGTTAGATAGAATGAATGTCAAAGCCAGGAAAGTCAGCACTTATGTAGCGTTGACTCGGGGTCTGGGCCCTGGATGCTACCACCCTCAGCTGTCCAGATTTCGATGCAAACTAAGGCCCAGAATGGTCTGAAACTGAATTCCCTCTGGCTTGGATGCTTGTCTGGGTACCTGCGCACAACAAGTGAGTGTATCCAACCAAGGGCCTGGGTGCAGTACCTTTGACTCTACAGTTGACTTTGACCTTTGAATTTCCTGTGTGCATCGTTCGGTCACACAGCCAAACGTGATAGACTTAGGCCTGGGCGTGTCTTGGTCACACAGCCCAGCGCAGACCAACTCAGGTCTGCGTTGCTTGGGGCTGAGTTCTGGGCCCAGGCTACTTCTGAACAGCATTACTGCATTCCTGCCGGCCCATTTTCGAGTTCCACCGCAGAAATATTTAAGACTTTAACCCTCGTTCATAAACAGCGACAATATCATGAGCAGTTTCAATTAGTTCTCATTTACTAAACCATCTGTCCTCAGATGGTGCTTGAGACTTAAAACGTACCTTGAACTGCTTTTGAGGTTGTCCACATCCTCCCTTAGAGAAGTAACCATGCTCTATGATTCTGTCTACCTCATATCTGCCATCAATGTTTGGTGGAATCATAGAAGGTCTATGTGGAAGCTCATTTCCTTCTACATACGGTAACAATTTGGACGCGTGAAAGACAGGGTATGTTTTGAGATGAGGGGGAATATCAATTCGATAAGACGGTCCCTCTGCGTTCCCAATTACTTTGAGAACTTCCCAGGGTCGAAAATAGACAGGAAGCAATTTTTGGGACACATCTTCTTCTAATGAGAACTCTTTAGATTTTACCCARACCAGATCACCCTCTTTGAATGTAGACGGTCGACGGTGCCTGTTGGCTTGTTCAATCATCCGTAGTTGAGCTTTCCTTAGATTATCTTTAACTTTCCGAATGTCCTCCTGGAACAATATTGCATATTCTCGGGTCCCTGGGGGTAACCTAAGGAACTGGTCCCGGTTTAGTACATCAATGTGCCGTTTAGGTTTCCACCCTTTGTGAAGTGCATTCGGGGTTCGTGCAGTGGAAGTGTGGACACTGTTGTTATATGCACTAGCAATTGTGGGTAAGTTCTCGTCCCAATCAATCTGATCGGGTCTAACATACATACGCAAAAGTTGTTGGCACAGATGGTTCATCTGTTCAGTCTGGCCATTCGTTTCGGGATGCCTCCCTGACGACATGGTCAGCCGTGTGCCAAATGCTTCCATTAACTTTTGCCATGGCAGACTGGTGAACCTGATATCTCGATCAGACAGAATGGATTTAGGAAACCCATACTCAGTGACCCATCGCATATGAATTTTCTGAATGACAAGTTTAGTACGTGCTTCTGCTGGTAAGGGAACAAACATAATGTATTTAGAGAAATGGTCCATAATTACCATCACTTGACTATTACCATTGCGACTTTTAACCAGACTCGTGAAGTCAATTGAGATAGACTCACCTGATTCGCTTGGTATAGGTAGTGGCTTAAGAAGTCCAAGAGGATTCTCATGAGATGGTTTGTTTCTCTGTAACACTAAACAGGTATGAACATATGTTAGTACATCTTCTCTAAGTCTCTTCCATTCGAAACGTTCTCTGACTTCAGCATATGTTTTCTTGAAACCAAAATGACCCTTAAAGTCGTGACATTCCCCAATTAACTGACTCTTAATCTCTTCCTTATGAGGAATAACAACTCATTAGTCAGCCTATAGTTGGGTAGTTGGGACGAATCTCGTACAAAAATATCCATGATTGGTTTCCACATAGGATCAGTAGCATATCCTTGGCGAAGCTGGTCTTTCAGGTCCCAACATCCAAGTAAGAGACAATTACACCAAAGAAATCACTGCGTCGGGACAAAGCATCTGCAACCACATTAGATTTACCTTTGATAGTCTTGAGTTCAAAGTCAAAGGTGTCAATGAATGCAGACCATCTTACCAACTTGTCAGAGAGTTTAGATTGTGTTTTTATCCACTTTAGGGTTGAGTGGTCTGAGTACACAGTAAAGAGTCTTCCTAACAGGTAGTGCCTCCATGTGTCCAACGCACAGACTAAGGCATAGAGTTCTTTTTCATACGTGGAGTTGGCGACTTTGTCAGACGACAATCGTTTAGACATAAATTCTATGGGCATATAGCCTTTGCCGTCATCTTGCTGGAGAACAACGCCAATCCCATAATGACTTGCGTCAGTGGTGACAATGAAAGGCAAAGACGGGTCAACAATCTTAAGGACAGGGTAGTGAGTCAGTGCATACTTCAATTTCCGAAAGGAGAACTCACAATCCTTTTCCAACAACCAGATAGTTTCTTTCTTTAACAATCTTCGCATTGGTGCAACAATCAGTGAGAAGTTTCTGACAAACTTTCTATAATAACTAGCTAGACCAAGGAAAGATCGCAGTTCAGTAATAGACTTAGCTTGTGGCGAATCTTTAATCGCTGATATTTTTTTTCTGTTTCGGCCTTAGACCTTCTTCGTTTATTATGTGTCCTAGGTATAACACTTCGGACTTAGCAAACTCAAACTTTTTCGAGTTGATCTTAAAGTCGCCCTCACGCAACTTCCCTAGTACCAGACGAAGGTGCTTCTCATGATCCTCTAGTGTTTTATTATACACTAGAATATCATCGAGATAGACAATGACAAACTTATCCAACCATTGACGAAATAAGTCATTCATTGACCTTTGAAAAGTGGTAGGGGCATTCGTTAATTTGAAGGGCATGACCACGAATTCGTAGTGGCCATACCTGGTCTGGAAAGCGGTCTTATGCTGATCGGAGGGTTCCACCTCGATCTGGTGATACCCAAATTTCAAGTCGATCTTGCTAAAGAACCTGCATCCTTGTAACTGGTTAAGTAAGTCGTCAATGCGAGG